GGAGCAAAATGGTAATATTTTCACACTGAAGGTTCGAAAAACAGAGACAAGAAAAGCCGTATGATTGACTATTGGAGCCCGCATTTTTCTTTTTTCCTTGCCACAACACAAATGGAAGGTATGCACGAAAAATCATCACGAAAATTAACCCTGAATCATTATCTCTCAACAATCGTGATGGATTTTTCTACCATGCTAATCTTGGAACATTTGGACACACGCGAGGACAACCCTCGTACAAACCCATGCAACCCTCACAAAAAAGTATGTTAAAATGAAATGCACATTAGATAGAAGAACACGCTTAATTTGCAACGTTCCCAATGTTCAAACAGTATTTCTCACATCCCATCATCCAAATCCCATCACGATAGTCACATCTATGAACTTAGAACCATTTCATTGGAATCAGTTTGAAAGAGAATGGAAGGTACTCTTATTTCCCCTTCATTTTCACCAGGACACCTTTTAAAGGTTCAGAAGATACAGTATTGTCTGTGAAAAAATCAGTATATTTAACGTACGACCCACACGGTAGGGAGTAGACTATAAAATAAGGATCTTATTGATGTGCATCCAGAACTGCGTACTTCTGCATACTTGTCTTACGCTTCGAAAATACTGTACGAACAGTCCACATAATACAGTCGACCTCTTCAACTCGAACCTCCTTAACTCGATGTTTTATTTTATAGTCCCTCTTCTAAACTTTGAATGCAACCAAAAGAAAGTCACCTGAACCTCCTTCAATCGAAATTTTCCAACTGTGAACCTCCTTACTCTAAATTTGTGAAGGCAAGGAAAGAAAGGAAATTGGAATGGTAATGCTTCTGGAAGAAATTGAGCAAGTTTAATTGGTCCATGAAAACCGGGCTTGAGGTTCTGCATCCTTTAGACTCATTTACCGCAAGTTTTCTCGATCAGCCATTTTTTATGAAGTGAGAATAATTAATGAAATGCTTTTGTACAGAGACTACACCCAGATACAGCAAAATTTTTAGCCCAATTAGTTCTTCGAAAGTATACAGCAAGTATTTTCAGACGTGCGTTTCCATACCCTTTTCAACTCGAAACCTCTCCAAGTCGAATTTTTTGCAGTCCCCTCAAATTTGACTTTGAGTGGTTTGAATATACTAGAACAGTATTCTTACTCAACCTTTTTGGCTCCAAAGAACGGCAAATTTCCATGAACATTTTCGCGGACCAGCCATTTCCATTAAAATTTTTGCAAAACAGCAGACATTTAAAAAATTGCCTGGCATAAAGTTCTCCAACCAAAATTTTGTTTGAAAAATTAACTTGAGAACTAATGAAATTGCTGAAGTTGAATCCCTCGACAAATTCAACAGCTGTGCTTCTAGAAAAATTTTATCAGAATGAATACCTAAAATAATTTAATTTTAGATTTGGGGTATTTGTCTGAAGTTGTGTTAGGAGGAAAGCCAAACTCTAATTTTTCATTATATAATTTCAACAGCCATCGTCTGTCCAAAAATTCAGATATCAATAACATATGTATTCATTAATGCTTTTGCTAAATTTATAATGCTGAAAAAAATTCCCCGCGGGGACCGGCGCTGGTCCGCGGACCACAGGTTTGCAGACCCCTGGCCTAGAACATTCTCCTCCCGAGAAAAACGCACTTGAGACCGAAACCCCAATGTAATGCGAGAAGCAACCGAATTTCAAAAGGCATCACACATGACCAGACTTTTCGGAGACGAATGCCATTATGCAGCAAGGCCCATGCTTGATTAAATAATCACTGGATTCGATCCTTGGTATGCATGCATAACCCGTGGTTCTTCTTCCGCGCCACGCGTTGTCAAGAGCCTCCACAAAGAATCCTCCAACGATTCAAGGCCGCAGGTCTATTCAGATCCCAATAAGTAGGAGGGTTGGAACATAAGTTTCGATACTTTTTTTTAAATAGATCCAACAAAGTTTCAGCAATTGGAAAAAAAACAATTTTTATTTTACTAGCATAGCCTCGTCATTTGGCAACACTTCAGGGCTGTTCGTCATTATCTCCGCCGATTTCAATGGATTTTTTTTTTCATGCAATAAATCCAACGATCTAAACAGTGCTGAAAATCGAGTTCCTTCAGTTGATTATGCACCTCGTGACTTCTGGCTGTTCCCGACAGTGAAGAACGACCTGACAGGGATTGATTTTGAGGAACACCCTCATTTCCGGCTTCGAAGAGCCCTATTTCCATCCTTGGATTTCTTGCATGAAAAAGTGCATTGAAATCATGGGAGATTATGTTGAACAGCTTTGAAGTGTTGCTGAATGATGGAGTTATGCGAGTAAAAAAAAAATTTTCTTTGGAATCGTTGAACCTGGGTTGCATCTCCTTCAAAAAGTCTCAAAACTTGTCAACTAACCCTCGTACATCAAACTGAATCCTCCGAGAATCACTCGCATATCGAGAAATCGTCCGACGATAAAAACGAGTTATATCCAAGACTTCCAACTCACGCACAGAAAACCCGTTATTTTGACCTCGCTTGCGTGCGTGCAGAACCTCAAACAAATGATTTGCACAAGTACGATGGATATCCCAGCACGGCAAATGAGGAGCAGCTTTCTGAAAGCATTTTACGACCGCAGAAAATCAGCAGGATTCCGTTCTGCTCGAGCCTCATGCCAACCATTTTTTTTTTCAAGGGTGAAAACCCAACCCTCGCCTAAGAAGTCATATTTTATTCAGAAGATCCCTTCTTCTTATAGGCAAAGTACCCGTTTAAACGTGTCAATCTCAATATTTACAAAAGAAAGAGACGACGCGTGGAAACCTGATACACGCGAAAACGCGCATGGGCTTAATTAACATCAGGGGTATAAAACAAATGCCCGGAAGGAATCGCAAGTCATTCATTGCCTCAGAAAGAAACAGACCGACAATCTTCCAGCACTTTTTACCAACGGAATACGATATTTAAAAAGCATTAGAGCATTTACATCAATCTGGCTGACAACTGAATGAACGACATTTTTGAATACGTATGGTCGTATATTTTCTTTGAAAAAATACTCTTGAGAGTCGACATACTTCGTGCTCTTTCTAGTATATGCCGTGCTGTATATATGCGAGATACGCGTAGAGATGGATAATAAATTGCAAAAACAATGCGAAGCCCGTAAAATATGGTATCCTGAGCTAAAATATGCAGCACATAGTATCACTATCTTGAAAATATTTGTATTGGTTGTCTTTTCCGATTTATGAGAAAATCAGGTATGCGCTAAAAAAAATTTTGAAAAGCAGGGTGCGGCATCTCGTAAAAATAAAACATTTGGGACCATAAAAAGCTTCGGTATAAACGAAAAATTGTTTATAAAGAAATAAAAATAGCATCGTGGCTGATGCAGGGAAGAAGAAAAAAACCATTCGTTGCGAGAAATAATTCGTCTTGAAGAAATTCTTGCTGGTAACGAAATTTTACTGCATTATAAAATAGGTCGCAATAACTATAAAAAATATGGCTTTATTGATTTTCAGAGGAGAGAAAGACATCATGGTCTTAAGAAAATAAGATAAATAAAAGTTATACTGAGGAAACGAATTCTTTTCTCGTGGAATTTCCTCGCGCTTTGCAACGTTATTCCATTATTTCGTGAATTGCGAATCAAAAGCACGAAATTTCTGCGCGCCTTTAAAATGTCAAGCGAAATTTCAGATATACTGCAATACAATGCACATTCTTGTAGTGTATTACTCAAATGTTTCCTTAAATAAATTCCAGATGTGTTGGGGTTACACGGGTTCTTTCTCTCAAACGCGTGCCCGAAATCGGCGTGAATGAAAGTATTTTTGGTTTAAAAAAAAAAAACATGATAAACGATACTTCATTACAGGAAGTCAGTCAGAAACGGAAGGATAACACCACGTAATTATACGAAGCATTCGCGAAAACCGCTTCTGGTGGTGTAGCACACATTGAACAGACTTTTTTAATTGCATTATAGAAACCGGAAGACTGAACATTCACAAAAATGGAACTAAATACGCTCAATAGTTGTGCCCGTCGACTTCCTACCTTTGTATGGTCCGGATTACCCAGAACTTCACGCAAGACGAACAAAAGACTGAGCCAATGTCATTAGCCCCTAACGACGCAATAAACTCCACTCAAAGGAGAGTTGAACAAGTTAAAAAAAAAAAGTTCCTGTGGTGAAGGCACGGCGGAAAGATTAGAAAAAAAGGACGAGGGATGGGCCATAAGTTTTGATATTGATCAGGGTAAATAAACGCGGATGGTTTACAATTCTAAAAAAGAGGCTTTCAGTCACAGCACCTTCTCATTCAGGGCCACGTCATTTCTGTTCAATATACTGTACTTACTCCAATATTTTCCTATTTTACAAGCTCAAAAACTTGGGGGATATTACACAGTATTCGTATATTTATGAAATTTGCGGAAATATGCGTCTATATCAGAAAATTTTCCGTTCGCGGCCCAAAAAATGATGAAGCACTTTTTTCCTCAATCATTTTTGAATTTAAGTTGATAATAATCGAGAAACGGTCAGCTTTTAGACTTTCAACAAATGCATGAGTCAATTAATTAAGACTAAAGAGCAACGGTTTTGTGACACCATTTTTCTTTCTCTGGAGAAAATCTGAATTTAATAAAAAAAAAATTAGGTTCAGGAAAGTCCGAAAATCAGGAAAGTACCGGAGTACTGTACTCATTTTTGAAATTTCAATTTTGTGCACGAAAAATCTAGGGAGAGTGCGCTTATATCCGCGTAAATACGGTGATGAACATTGTGCCAATTTTAAATTAATTTTAAAATATGATGAATCAATTTCAAACCTAGTAAGAGTCACTTCAAGCCGTTTTTTTTTTTTTTCATACATTCTGGGCGAGCGATTTATTTTTCCAAGTCCAGAACAACTACAGTACACGCAGAATGCAGAAATTCTTTTTAAAATTTTCGCGACTGCAAGTACAGTACTGTATGTCAGTCTCAACAACCTGTGAACCATTCTTCACCCTGTTCATAAAAAAATCCATAAACAAAACAGAACCAGAGGAAAGAAAAGAAGAGGCGCCGGAATGCTGCGGGAAAAAACAAGGACTGAACCGAGGAGAACATGGGCTGAGAAAGAAGAAGAAGAAAAAAAAAAGGGAGGTTGATGCACTCACCGAGCATAAGAAAGGGCGTAATGCACAGGATCGTCGTGGCCGGGTATCCGAGCGACATGAGGAAGCCAAAGGCGGTGATGGTCGCCATCACGGTGGACGCCACTCCGAACACGGCCAGCATAGGCTTGGCTCGAACCCAGTCCGTCATCATGCAGCAAACGACCGAGAAGATGCAGACAATCAGGCCGGCAAGGAAGCCTTGGAGCGGCACAAAGTCCTTCAGAGAGTCGAACTCGTGTTCCACCGTGTCCCGGCTCTCGTAGTACACGTCAACCATGGACGACGTCTTGGAAATGGCCTGCATCTGCCTCACGAACTCCTTTTCCCACTCCCGACCTCTGCAAGACAATAATTCCTGATCAAGATCTAATAAAAACAAACATGAAAGATAAAGGAGAGCTCAGAATGAATGCTCTTTCTCTGGAGGAGAACTGGACATAATCGAAGGGTTATCACGCATCCAATCCTCAATGAGACGATTTAAAAATCGCACAATGAAACAAAGTTTACTTCGATGAAAAAAAAAAAAGTTTACTGGACAAAAAATTAACTTCGGCAAAATATTCTGAGAAAAGTTACGAAAATTGCAAATTAACTACATACTAAACAACTAAAGCAACCCTCCCAGCAGTTCAGAGCTTCTTTTTATTCACAAGAAAAGCCAGTCATTAAAAAGTTCCCAGACCGTGAGAAAAACATTTAAAAAGCTACGAAATTTCAATTTTTTGAGTATCTTGGAACATTTTTAGCACACTTTGAAATGAGTAGAAAACTCTTTCTACTATAGGTAAAATGATATTTTTATCTAGAGGGCATATATTCTAGGGGTACTTACATTCGCGTAAATACGCTGATGTACATTATGTCAATTTCAAACGAATTTTAAAACGTGCAGATTCCAATGCAAACTTCGCCGTATGCAGTATCTCGAAAACACATTAAAAATATGAAAAATACCAGAGGCTGAAAGAAATATATCTGAAAAAATGATAGGTAGAATCAGTAGTGTATTTTCTTCAACATTTTCAACGACTTTAAGAATATTCGATTCCAGGAAAAACAGGGACAGCCCTAGTACTCAAGTGAGACATACTCGCTCGCTAGTTCAATCAGGGTAATTAAAACATACGCACAGAAAACAGTGTTCGAACAAGCTGCTCAAAATTCTACGTAAGTTCTACTAGTACTTTATTACAAATTATTTGTACTGCGAATATCGCTGCACATAAAGGTTGTTGACGTCAAAGTACTTCTGCATCAACTCGCCTTCAATTTAAAAATTGAGATAAAATGAAATCAATCGGAACATCAAGAGAGAACGAAGAGCAAATATCGGATGAATGAAATTGGCTTGCGTACTTTCCGAGAGAAAAAAAACCACAGAAGCTCAAAAAGTTTTTGAATGAAACAGCAGCAGGACGAAAGTTCCCGCGATCAACTTCCATCCTTTTCCAGACAAATTCGAATTTTTCGAAAGGCAGTGAAAAAATTTCTTTTTCCAATTATTTTCCGGGACAAGGAATTGCTGTAATTTTTTGTTGATGAAACATTTTTCTTCTACTGAAGAACGCTGAACAATAATATCAACATGAGCATAGAAATACTGTACATGTTTTCATGCAAAGTTAATAAGAAAAATGAACCATCAGATACACCAGTTTTTCCAAGTTAACATATTTCATTCGAACTTTTCCACTATCAGAAAAGTAAAATACGATTTAACATGACATTAATCTTACATCTTATTTTCGTATCCTGCCAGAGACAATACATCAGCAAAAGGGAATTACTCCTTTGTTTGCCTTTTCATTTGACTCCCTGGAGCTATATAAGGTATTTATCTAGAGTTGACAAGTATCAGTACTATATTGGACATTCAAAAGCCATTGACTTTCAAGACCAAGCCTTTGGGTTCAAGGCAAGACATAAAATGTATCCAAAACGTCCGCAATAAGAAAGTGTGGTTGGATTAATCCCACTAATCTTACCAATGAAGGGTTAGTAAGTTTGCCCTGAAGAGGAATCTCGAAATTATGGTTGCATGAGAATCGCACACGACTTGAGTGATACAATCTTCACTGGACGAAGGAAAAAAATTAGACAAAAAACGGGCTGTGCTGATTATCTGCTACGGGAGTTGCTTTTATGTTTAATTATGCAATATCATCAAACTACGACACACAATGGATTTCTAGGACTAGAAATACCCATGACCTCGAAAAGCAACGTCACAATGAACCCAACGGCGACACGTCGTCGACGCAATTTTTTCGACCACGCATCCCCTTCAAAAACACCGGGAAGGAAACAATGATGGCAAATGCAATATAACTCGACACAATTCGAAAAATAAGATAAAATATAAACAATCAAATTTTAAGAATTAGGTCGCGAATAATTCAATTTCGTACAGCATTCGCAGTCAGAGAGCAGCACTAATTTCGACCAACAAAATTTTTCGAATAACAAATGGTCCAGAATTCCATGCAACTACCCGTTTTACTAATTTTAACTCTTTGAGCACATCCTTTGTAGGCTAAATTTCATAAACAGTAAGCATACAAATGTTGGAAGCTTCGTACAAAATTACGCTGGTCACTAGAATAGGATCAGAATCGAGAGACTTGGAGCATGAAAGTTGATTTTATACTCACGATGAACATGAGGCTTCATTGTAAAGGCTAAAAAATGTGTGAATGGCAACTCATACTATAATTCCATGAATAAAAATGGCCCATTTGTTTACGCAAGTACCACATGCACCTTTTCGAAAAATCCATGCAAATTTTCTAGGGTGTTCACGGTACCCGGATATAAATTGTTGAGGGAAAACCTTGAGTGAGTCTTCGTGAGTTGAAAAAATAATAATTAGAAATGCTTAAATGCAAATGAATTTTTCCTTAAAAATAATTTCAGCAGTATTATTTGTGAGGAGCAAACATTTTTTTTTACTAAAGTGGAAGGAAAGGAGGGGAAAGATTCATGTAATGGAGGGAATCACCATTAAATGGTGAGAATCAGAGACCGAACAGTGAAGGGTTTCGCTCAGACAATTGAAGGGTTTGTTAACTTTCATGGCAGACGAAAACTAGAAAAAATAAAATAAAAACATTCATGCACTCGAAAAAGGAAAATTATGTATCCAGCGCAGAGAAACTACCGTAGTCTAAGCCGCAAGTTCCAGGATTACAATGCAAGTCCAAGTAATCGTGATCAAGAATTCAATGGGGCAAAGTTGAACACAAAAATCCAGGAGGCGAACAAAATTTCAAAAAATTAAACTAGGTCAAGGCATTAGAAATATCAGACGGGAGAAATCTACGGCATGAATTGATTTAGAGTTTGCAGGAATGAACACAAACAGTTGAAGATACCAGGGAGAAATAATAATCTGAGCAGCAAGCTCCAGGGTTAAAACCATAAATTCAAGCATACGATGATGAGCAGGAATTTCTAAGGTCAATTTTTAATTTTAAAAATACAGCACCTGCACAAAATGAGAACGTACAAAAAAGGTCAAACCGGCACGGTATCGGAAATGCTCCATAAAACCAGATAATCAAGGGCTAAAAACACTGCTCTAATGCCATTTCGTTCGTCAACAATTATATGTACAGTATTGTACGTCACTTTCAGGAGATTTTTGATACTGTATCAAACTTCAGAAGTGGTTGCTTCGAGCTTGAGAAAAAGAAAAGAAATGGGACTGCTTGCGTAGAGTCTTCACGATTTCCGTCAAAAAATATTTATACAGTATCACTCTCAAGAAAGGAAGTGCGAGAAGAGCTTCAGGTTAAAACTTACAATAAAGTTCAAGAGTGTCTTCATCATTCCTTTGAGGGATGATTCAAAAAATTTCCGCAAATCATTTATAACTGCAGGATTTCTAGAATTACGAGAATTCAGTTAAATTGCAGGCGTGGCCTGGAAAAATATTTGCTCATCAATTTATTAAAATGCCCTTCACCATCAGCATTAATCAGGTGAAAATCGTCAAAGCGAGAAGACTTTATCGTTGGAACGTTATTTTCATACCGAAGATATTGTCAGTACAGTAAAAAGGTTTTCAAATTATTTTAATTGATAGAGCCTCGTCTACAGAAGATAAGTGTAGCAGATGAACACTATTTTCTGGCAGTGATGGGGTCCTTTTTTAACTTTCCCGTCTTCCCTTCATTTTTTTTATCGGGGCAAGTAAACATCAAAACAATAAGCAGCAATTATGAAAATTTAAGGAATGGTCATAGCTCAAAAAATGCATTGGAAACACTTGACAGAAAATTTCTGGCACGCTAGACGAAAACTTATGAGTTTAAAAATCACATCCATCACATGTACATTTCCCGCAAGGGTGAAACAAGCCTAAGCATATGTACCGGCCATCGATCATAAAGGTCAAGTTAGAATTGCAAAGAAAATGTGGGACTTTTCTGAAAAAGATACGAACAGGGTAAAAATAGAATTTCGCTGCACAAGAATCGAATATACAGTACTGCACTGTACCGTACAGCATACACGATAAGCACGTAAACTGGATTAAAACTTCTGTACATTGGTTTGATATTGAATATTGCTTCACAGAAAATGGTTGTAGGAGAATCCGAAAGCAGAGTACAGTACTTTACTTTATGTCATCATGCAATTATTGTGTAATAAATCTACATATTTCATTGTGATGGGCATGACAAAGTATTCCATTCATAGTGCCAAGAGTAACACAATTTTAAAATGACTCAAACAAGAAATGAATTTCTCGCGAATGAAAACGGTCTCGGTTTCATCTCCGTATAAATGTGCCATCAACTGCTTCGCACAAACGCACGCTGTGCAGAAATAAAAACGAAGCGGATTCAGCAATTTGGTTTGACACGTAGAGTTGTAGATTAACCAATCCTGTTTTTCTTTCTTACACCAGGGATATACAAAGACCATCTTTTAAAGAATGATTTTGTTTGTTTTTTCCATTTCAGGGCAATTAAAAGAAGAAAAAACTTCAGCCCGCATTATTTGTTTGAGCAGATTTCCGTGGGAAGCCGCGCAACCACTGCTCGGTGTGAAAGCTGATACCTCGCATAATTAGAATTTTTCACACCATACTCAGGCTTCCACTGACTATTCATTGGCATAGTGGATCCAGATTCGGATACTAGATAGCATGAAAGCTGATAATTTCTCGAAAATTGTAAATTCAGATGCTATATTTTGACACAAACGTTATTTTTCAATCGCGGAGACACTGCTATATTTTCTATCGCGTTCCTTGTTTCTGGGAGTTTTCGTCTTGCTATGATATTTTACAGTAAAATTTACTGCAATAATCCATTCAGGAAATGTCTCGAGGCATCTGGAACGAATAAGCAATTTCATGTACTGTATAGTTTCAAATTAACAAGGAACTGTTCGAGGGCGTGTTATCAATCACCCATTCTACGCAGGTCAAGATAACTCGGTCCATCGATTTTTCGAAGAAATGAAACTCTCAAACATAATTTATTTTGCGTGATTTTCGAAAATGTGAACTAACAGAATACTGCACAGCAGTACTTTGATCTTCCGGAGTTGAATTGGTCGACATTCGTTCAAATCATACCGTCATGTCGATTACTCTACGATACGTCGAAGAAAGCGAAGACTGAAAGACGCATCGGGAGGAAGTACAGCTGAACCTCGAAAACTCGAACCTCTCTGAGTCAAATACTGCACAGTACTTCACAACGTGGAAATTTGTCAAGACCCTGTATTCCTTTCTGTCAACACCCTGTGTACCTGTCTGTATTCCTTTAGAAACAATGCATTAAAAGCCTCCTTAACCGGAAGGTTTTCCTCCTCAAAACCTCCATAACTCGAATTTTCTGGAGGTCTTTTGACTATTTTATTGACACAGGAAAGATGAAAGCAATAAAAATGTAGCTTTACATGTTTTCAACGGAACTGAAGACTAATTGGGCAGATAAACCCTTCCTTGCCTCCAAGTTCAGCATCATGTGAACTGGTCTAAGCAGCAATTTAAGGCATATAATACAGCATCACCAATTACCATTTTTCTTGTACAGTAATCCTCCATAATCCCCCAACACAAATACTAGTTTCCCCAACTCGATTTTTTTTCTGGTCCTTTGCTGTTCGACTTGAAACAGGTTCGACTGTATTTAAGCGTGATATGCATCACAACCTTCTTGCCTGCCGATCAGGTCTAAAAAGCCATCAAAATAAGAATGACAGGAATACACAGAGATTTTCTGTCGAGTCATAGTCGCATTTTTCTGAGATTTTGAACGCAATTTCGTATCCGCATTTCTCACGTTCCCCGTCACGAAACTCTGTCTGCCTATCAGCTAAAAAAAAGATTTTTAAAAACTGGGTGCCGCATGAACAAAATGAACAGACAGTCTTCCTGCCTATTAGCTAAAAAAAAAAGATTAAAAAAAAAACTGGGTGCGTGAACAAAATGAACAGACACTCGAACATGATGAGAAGAAAAAGGGGGGGGGAATAAGAGCACCGCCAAGACTTACAAAGCCAGCTCGTCAGGTGTGCCAGCCTTCAGGATGAAGTACATGCCGACAGCCGGCGTGCTCAGCACCACATCCCCGTCCAACACCGGCTTCCCAATGGAGCCCGGCAAGATGATATAATCGAACGCCTTCTCGTCAAAGAACACCGGAAACGTCAGGTTGACCCGACCCGCCTCCACATCGTCCACCACGTTGGCAATCTTGACGGCGTCCGTGTGGAAGCAGTCATTGCCCCATCTGGCACACAAATCCGCGTACTTGAGCGCCGGCTGCTTTTGCCCGGGCCCCGGGATGGTGATGTTGCGAATCATCGCGTCAATTCGCAGTACTTCGTCGAACGATTCCCGTCGCAACACCGTGCCGCCATCTTTCGGATACACAAGCACATGGGCAAAGCTGCCAAACCGACTCGACCGGTCGGGCTGGAACTCGCCCGAAAAGTTCATGTGGAAGAACTCTTCGGACACGGCTCGGTCGTGCCACGACTCCGCGTTCGTCGGGATGTACAAGTACTCAATGTTGGTGATGTAGACGATGTTGCGGAAAATGGCAGAGCCGTAGATGAGCGTCAACACCATCGTGGCGGCGATGAACCAAAATGGGTGCCGACCAACGCGGGCGCCCAGTTTCCGAAGCGCCGCCGTCAGGAGTCGGGGTAGAATGTCTCGGGAGCAACGAGAGAGATTCGGCTCCGGTTTCCCCGATTCGGGAGCGTGCTCTGAGTCGTGTTTCGACATCATAGGCACAGCAAAATCTATAAAAGTCACCGAAAACCGTGTCAAACAACTACAGTACCATCCTTCACAGAGGAATAAAAAAAACAAAAACAAAACTCCGTCTCTGCGTCTGGTACCGACAGAAATTCTTTCAAGTGCTGTAAATACTCCCGAACCAATCTTACAGCAATTTTCCATTAAAGAAAATTGAGAAAAATGCCTCTCGAAATCCAAGGAAACAGGTAGCTTTTCTTTTTCAAGTTTTCAAAGGAAATCACGCGTGGTAAACAAGGGAACAGAATTTTTTCCCCGGAAAATCTGACGCTTTCATTGAATTTCACTCGGGATTATCGTCAAGACACTGCCTTGAATACAGACCTTGCTCCGAAAATATTCCTTCATCACTAAAATACCTTTTACCTTATTTTCTGATGAATTTACCCTAGATTTAAAATTTTATTTTCATGCTAATCAATCCCAAACGCATTCAAATTCCTGCTTTACAGTTTTCTTAGTTCAGATTCTGATCTGAACAATCAGAAATCGTAGTGCAAAACAATGCTTACAAAATCCAAAATTTCCAAGCGCGAGAGTTCAAATTGTAATACTGTATGCATTTTTTTTGCGTTCTCTCTTATACAAATGAGACCTAAATCCATTCAACCTATTCTCTACAACAATCCAGTCTACAACAATTTTCTCAATACAGTACTGCATGATTAATTTGTTGGTCCTATAGGGTTCTTTATAAAGAATTTTTTTCTATCTACTCGAATTCCCTTGCAGAGAGAATCCACCTGTTCTTTATAAAGAATTTTCTTCTATCTACTCGAATTCCCTTGCAGAGAGAATCCACCTGTAAATATTTTTAAGGAGAACATTTATTTTTCTAACATTTTGAATGAAATGTCTCAAGGTTTAAAATTTTAAATGAAATCTCCCAAGGTTAAACCCTTTACGGACAAGTATATTACTGTATTATGAGCATTTCCCAATTATTCGGGAAAGAGCATTTCATGAATAATCGGCGTACATTTCAATATTTCAATTCAAAACTGTTCTAATTTTCAAGAAACACGTTATGTAATGTTCGAATCATACTCTTTTCATTTAAAAAAAATGGGTTCATTGAATTTATCTGTATATTCATTTTTATAATCTTTCATACAGATTAATAGAACAAAAAAACAAATTACAGTAGTGAACATCAACTATGACTCAAACTCGAAAAAAGCCAACTCACTATTCCAAGGATAGCCATTACGTTTTCAAAAATGCAGCGTGAAATCACGACTCCGAATTTTAAAATTCGTGATCGAGCAACCCAGTACCTTCCAACATTACTGCGTGAAAAAGTTTTATTCAGCAGCCTTGAATCAGTTTGGGAACCAGTTGAATGTCAATCATCTGGATTCAGGGAATTTCAATCAACACAAATCTACGTTTTTAATTGCATTCGAGAATTGCAACCTTCAAATATATTCACAAGTACTGTATGGTGCATAAATGCTTTTGAACCAGCAACCTCGAATACACCTCGATTCTCGTGTGTTTCGTTCGGTTGAAATTAGGGAATTCCCGTTGTTACAATTTACAAAATAAAAATTGGCTTCAATGCGAGCACGTTTTCAACGCATTGCGATGACTCGCCGGTTCAGCTTTTTTTTTTTTTTCAAGGATACGAATAATCGGATTCATACGAAAACTCTTTCATAAGAAGAAAACATCCCACAGGAAATTCGATCTTTACCAAGGGTGTCTGGTTTGGTCCTAGAAATGGTTTCCTACCATTTTATCCTACATTGTTCGCACGCCAACAAAACATTAAAAGTTTTTACAATATATAAGGCAAATTCCAGTATAAATCCTGTTGCAACATAGGCAAAAACACTTGAAGTACAAATCAAAGCAAATTCAATTGTGGGCAGAGCAGAAAATCATTCAAAAGCAAAACAGATTCGGCAGAAGGAACCAGGCAACAGTCTCCATACTTCTGAAGAAAATGTACTGTATTTAGTATTCCTTATACTGTATACCTAAGAACTTGGGAGGAAAATCATGGTCCCTCTTTTCAAATACAGTATATCCTTTTACTTCCTGTGTGATTTGAGGGGTCTTAAGCCATGGCGCCTGGCGCACATTCCCAAGGATGGTGACTAAATCCCCTTTCTTCTTGAATGGTCCAAACAGCTTAATCTCTCTACTGACCACAATGGGAAATAAGCTGATAGGAAACCATACCGGACACGTCTGGTTTCATAGCACAGTCCGATTCTTTTTGTACAGTATTTTTGAAAATCAAAATTAATGGTTGAAATCAAGTTTGAAGGATTATATCATTCCGAACGATTTAGCTCAACGATTTCCGGTGCTCCACATCATTTTATCTCGCCACACTTTGCTACCATAGAAAATGGAATAAAAACAAAATATACCACCAGGGCATCCAACGATTCAATTGTATCAAATCTGGTTATATTTCCGTATACTTACAATCAAGGGTATATGAATGAGACTTTTTATTCATAAGGAAGGACAATCTTTTATGAACTATAAGAGGATTTGAAATATCCGGGCTCCGATCTGAAGAACCGAATAACCCCAGAAGAATTTAAATTTACCCACAAAAACGAAGCAAAGAAAATTGCTTATAATTGTACTGTGAGTAATTTCAGATTCCCTCTCTCAATTTAAAATTCGGGGCAATACCTTATTACTCAAGTACATTCTTTCCTTTAAAAATTTACTCAAAAATGGTGTGCGCAACGTACTCGAATAATATTCAACTGCAATTTTTTTATACGAATGAAACATAGAACACATTTCGTTAAGTTTAAAGTAATATTTTTTTAGATATTATACTACAGCGAGTAAATAACTTTTCGTAGCTTAAATCAAACTGACAGACAAAAATTTGAAACTCAAACAAATGCAGGACAATCGCATTCACATTTTAATAGTCCAGATTCAAAATGTTTGCGTTTTCCCCTCAAAGTAAATTGATGTGTGTCACAGAAAACCGGGTCGCGCGTCTTACGCGGAGATTAATCTTTCACAAAAACATTTCATCAAAAAGTAAGGTGCGCGTAGCAGATGGTACAGTACTTCAGTGAAAATGGTACACTTGAATTTGTGGAAATTTCACAATCATGTCATTGGGTTATTCATGTAGTTTCATTTGATTATCTAGACAAAGGCAACCGGTCATTAGGCAACATGATCAGAACTCAAATAAAATACGCGTATACTCTCTCTACATCGATTTTCTCTGCATGAATAATTTTTTTTGGTCCGATGGCCGATAGGGTTCTCTCCCCATATGTTATAGGGGTTCTTTACAACGAAATTCTCCCAACCGCGATTTTTCCTGAATTTCGTTGCAGCGAGAAGTCCGACCAAAATAAAAATTTCAAACCGGTGGTAAACGTTTCCCGAATTGCGCGAGGAAATCAGACACCCCTTACAACGTTTTCAGTCTCTATATTTCGAACCATATTTGCTCGAAGTACTGTACCACTTGCTGTGCAGTAAAACGCGTATCTTCGAATTTCATTCAAGAATATGAAAAAAAATAATTGTATTCCCCCAAAAGACTCACCCCTTAGTTTTCAGTAACCAAAGCTGAAAAGCTGCGTTCCGTAAAAATCTAAATTCAATCCCACTTTAAAATCGAATTCAATGGGGATATTTTGTCATACAAATAATATCAACATTAAAATAAGTCTGAAAATATGAATAGTTATAGGGAGATAGGATTCCAATTACCAAAAACTGTCACTTGAAAATTGTTATCCAAGTATGGCGCACATTTTGCTGTTTTCATTCAAGTTTCAGATTAGAAAAATTATCACTTGAAAACTTCCACCTAACTATGAAGCGCACCTGATTTTCTCCAACTTTCCAAATTTCAAAGTGTGCCACTTGATAATTGTTACTCAACTGTGACGCGCACCTTATTTTTTGCCAATTTCTTATTTTTTCGAGGTGCGTGTGGTAGACGGATAAAGACGGTACAGTATGCATAGAGCCGAGAGAGAAAAAAGAGTTCGGGAATCGTTTGCTTGCCGAAACTGCGCAATAGCATCCAGAACGGGCCTTCATCCCAGGCACTCACTCACACTACTCCTAAACGCGATGTTCAGCAGCAGCAGCAGCACTCAACAAAGCCGCACTGCGAAACCCTCAAAAGAAAGAAGATAGAGCTTTCGAGGAGGTACGCGTTGCAAGCCGAGTCGGGGGGGGGGGGGCGAACTACGCGGTTGTGAAACCTACCTCAAGAACAGGTCTTCCGACCAACACTGTCCAGAAACGACTGACACAGCCCAGGCGTCGAGCAGGGGATACGTATAAAACAAAAGCGTCTCCCGCCTCTGCAACCAGGGAGATGGGAAACGCGCGAAGTCCGTCTTCTTACTCTATTTCTCCTCCGTTTTTTTTTTTTTTTTCTTCTTCTCGCTCTCACTTCCTTTATTCAGGCCTGCGAGAGAATGATAGAGTTCACCTTTGCAACCTCGAACGTTCGAAACATCCTGGTACGTATAGTTGGGCAAGACTTTCTCTCAAGACTCATGTCTGAAATACTGTACCACGAGGCTTCGCAGGGCCCCGAAATTAAGTTATCAATATCAACGTGAATTTCATCAACCGCTTCAGGGCAAATTTCCAGAGTATGTTTTATATTTACTGTACTCGGACAAAGCCACATTTGAAATGTGTATTGTGTTCGAGTTCGACCCTATGAAGTTTTCCACGTGAGTTTACTTGTGCAACCACATCATGTTGGAAATGCCCGTATTTTCAATCACTCACACAGTAATTTGTGCTGAAGTACTGAAGCAATGTTTCCACTCATGAATAAGTAGAATCTAGAAGAGGACAGAATTCCGCAAAAGTTTTCATGTGTTGAACTTCAATATTTGAAAACATGCCTTTCGGATTATTTATTCTCAATAAATATCCATTTTAACGGCATACTTAAGAGAAATTGCATTGGTCTTAAATAGTATTGGTCTTTTTCATGCAAAAGACCAAGTATTCATGTTAGT